GGAAGGATGTTAGCCAACAAAGCCAGCATCCAAGAAGCTGGGAAATGGTTTTGTGTGGACTCAACGACCATTGCGGCCATGACCTCCTGGGAGAGCCATGCTGGGCGGGTCCTCAGAGATGCCTGGGGAGAGACAGGAAACGGATTTGGATTCGGGCTGATGCAGGTAGGACAGCAAAGCCGTGCAGCCTGGTTCAGTTGGCTGTTGGATTTTGGCTGTAAAACATCACAGGAGGTTAAGGGACTGTTTTATTTTATAGCACAAAAATGATCCCAACTCATACTCTGTGGCAAGTTTTAAGTGGGCAAAATGTGCCTTTCCAGGTCCCCTCTTTCAGGGCCTCTACCCTGCACCTCTTCTACCCAATCCCAGCTCCCTCCCTGGGGCACCACCTCCCTCTGTGCTCCAGACAGGCTGTTGCTCCCTGAGAACCATCACTTTCCCACTTGCTTCCCCCATCAGACTGAACTGATAACCTGAGGAGAGCAGAGAGTGGCTTGGAGGTAACTTTTCTGAACAGCTGCCCCTTCCCTGAGTATTCCTGAAGACTCAAGGCCTTAATTCGATGACTGCATTTCTTTTTTTCTTTTATTCATTTTAGTTGTTTTTTTTCCAGTTTTATTAAGATACAATTGACATACAACACTGTATGTTTAAGGTGTACAGCATGATTTGACTTACACATACTGTGGAATGATTAAAAAGTTTATTTAACATCCATGATCTCACACGGATGCACACACACAAAAAAGAATTTAACGTGATGAGAATTTTTAGGATCTACTTTCTTACCAACTTTCAAAATACATCAACAGCAGTGTTAACTATAGTCATCACATTGTACATTACTTCCCTAGTACTTGTCTTACAACTGGAAGTTTAGGCCTTTTGACCACTTTCATCCCATTCCCACTCCCCCACCTCTTGCCTATGGTAACAACAAATCTGGTCTCTTTTTCTATGACGTTTCTTTTTAGATTCCACATATGAGTGAGATCATATAGTATTAGTCTTGGTCTGACTTATTTCACTTAGCAAAATGCTGTCAAGGTCCATTCATGGTGTTGGAAATGACAGAATTTCCTTCTTTTTATGGCTGAATAATATATATATATTGAATATATATATAATGTACGTATGTATATATATATATCTATGCTACATTTGGTTTATCCATTCATCCATTGATAGACACTTAGGTTGTTTCCATGTCTTGGCTATTGTTAAATAATGCTGTTATGAACGTGGGGTTACAGAATAGGCCCCCAGAGACAAAGTGGTGTCTAGTTGGGGAACAAGAGTGTGCTCTGGTGGGAGCTGGGGAGATGGTCCACTAGGACTGTGGTCCAGGGGCCAGAGGGCTCTGGCGTCAGAAAGAAGCCCAACGTTGATGGTGAACAAGGGGGAAGTGGGGAGGAGGTGGGTCTAAGGACAGAGAAGACCCCGGTAGCCAAGACGAAGAAGCCGGTGGGGATGAGTGGGAGTGAAAGAGGACAAGTGACAAGTATGAGGACACAGTGGCCAGGGGACTCCGGAGCAAAGTGGTAAGGCCAGCTGTGGGGGTGGGAATGCCAGTGAGAATGGAGGGGCCTTGGCAGAGACGGCCCTGGCGGCAGAACAAGAGCCAGTGATGCGGTGGAAAAGTGTGGTGGGGGGCAGGGCCCGATGGTGAGGAGGGAGACAGTGAGGGAGACCTGCCCGGAGCCTGGATGGCAGCAGTGAAGGGAAACGGGCCTGTGAAAGGCACTCCAGCAGAGGCTGGGAGACCTTGTAGTGCCCTCTGAGAAGGTGGAGGCTGGGGTTATGGGGGCTCAGAAAGAGGACAGTGAATGCTGAAGTGGGCACAGAGGATGCAGTATCTTCTCCAAGCTCCCCAAATAGCAGAATGCCAGCTTTGGAAGACAACCTGTATGTACATATATGAAAACACCTCACAGCCAGGATAACGACACACAGTTGCTGACAGTTGCCCTTATCAAGGAGCTTGCCCGGAACTCCCTGGGGCTGCAGGAGACAGGGTACAAGCCTCAGTTAGGGCGGAACAGGGGCAAGGTGTCCTGGCAGGGGTAGCGGCACCTGACGGTTTCTCCTGTCCTGTTTCCTGCACCCCATTTCTCACCAAGGCTTTATCCCACATTCTCTTCCCTAGAGATTCCCCTGACACGTCAGGCCAAGCTGTCCTGAGGCCCTGGAATTTTACCAGCCTTCCTGGGAAAAAGGAACACAGAAAGCAGGGAAGTGATGGACCTCCTGCACAGAAGAGAAAGCAGGACTGGCGCCACTTGTTTTTTTTTTTTACATCTTTATTGGAGTATAATTGCTTTACAGTGGTGTGTTAGTTTCTGCTTTATAACAAATCCACTTGAGTTTTTTTCTGGCAAGCTCTCCAGGCTGGGAAAACAGAAGACTGGGTTACCTGTGGTGAAGGAAGGAGCAAAGAGATACTCTAAGGAGGTCGAGGCTGAGTAGAATGATCCTTAGCAGCTTAGACCCGAGAGCCACAAGAATTAGTATCGGGAGTGCAGGCTGGCCACAGACCACCAGACACACCTGGAGCTGGATAAGTTCCCTTTATTGCATCTCAGGAAAAGTCCTTTGGGAAGGACTTTAAAGGATCTGGGCTCTTATTAGATGATTTTGATGAGTGTTCAAAGCATGGTTTGCTCTGGATTGGATGCTGTCAGGAAAAGAGAGATGGCTCTATGATTGGTGTCTTCATGAATCTCATCTAGAAGGTGAGAGGCATGAAGCGAGGCTAAAGCTGTGTGATGAGAAGCAGCAGGCCCCACATTACCCAGAATAGGGGATGTGCCTCATTTTTCCGGCTTGAACAATGCTTGTGTTTTCGTCTGGGCTCGGATGTGATTAGGGAGTGAGCTTGTTTTCGCCTTGATCCATCAGTTACAGAGCAGCTTCATCTGATGTTGGTGACCTGTGAAATTGCTTACGTTCAATAGGAAACACCTGTCAGTGCTGGGCCGGCTCCTAGACACACGGAGGCTTTCCAGGCCAGCTCCTGGCTGTCACAGCTGCTCTTCTCTAATGCCCCTCTTCAGCCAAGGGCAGACAAAGTCAGACCACAAGGCATCAATCCACGACGTCCGGATTTTTACTGGTCAAGATTTTGTCAGTTAAGACCAGGAGGATGTCCAGAGGCCATAGTCTTTGTTGGACTAGGGCCAGTTGTAGGATGAGTTGTTGAGTCATCTGATGTGCCGACGGCTGCACGGCAGCATTTAAGTTTTTGGACAGGATGAACTGAGCAACTGTAACACAGGCAATGACCAGAAGCAAAAGGATCATGAGTTTTGTGACAAGACTTAGAGCCAGGGTCCCAGATTATAAAACCCAGGCAATGAAAACATGTCCCAGAATCCAGCTGGCTCTTTTAGAGAATTGGATGGATTTTTTGTTTATCCTAATATCCACAGTTGTGCTTGCCCTGTAGTTCATAAATGCAGCAAGAAGTACAAACCACCCTCCACCAGCTTAGAGGAAATCAAGGTGTTCAAAGGGGCCTTGAGCATCCTGTCCAGTCTTGTCAGAATCTTGTCAGGATTGTGTTGTTGGCAGGTAGGACGTGCAGTGGAAAAATCCTCAGTGGTATCTTGAAAATTACCCTACTAATGCTGGTTCAATACTGTTGCCAATTTTTCTCTGCTTTATGGGTAATATCACTACTTTTTGATATTTTTAATATCACAATATTTGCTAAATTTCACTTTTTATCACGGTCACCTCCTTACATATAGAAAAGCATGTCAAAGCTCTTTAATTCACTGTCAATGTTACAGGGGCTCCTGTGATGGGCATTTGTTTCTAAAGCATTTCAATGTCATGGACTATCTCCAAATCATCTACCTATCCTATCAGTATATTTACTTTTGTGATTTGGCAGATCTGGGAGAGGCACTGAATGGACACAGTTTTTGAGAAAAGCTTATAATTCAAGGGTAAATTTGAGTCTGATGACACTTTTAATTTTACTTTCTAAGTATGAATAATCTACATACACAATTAAATCAGAGTTATCCAAGGGAGTCTTCAGAAGGTCAGTGCAGGGTATACATAGTTCCCTGAGGCAAGCAATTATGGGCTGTTCCTTTGTGGGAGAGGGAAGGAGGTGGCTGGGTTTAGAGAGGGGCAGTGATGCGTGATGGAAAAGCACCAGTACTTCCTAGGTTAGGTGACTAGCTGAAAGATGCTGAGAGCTTACTGTCAATGGAAGAATCTATACAGCACAGCATGGGAAACCATTAAGATGAGTGGAGACCCTAGAACTAAACCAGCTGAAGTTTTCACACTTTTGTTGTCACTGCTGTGGTTCTTAGACAAGATGGATATATATATGTTTTGGCTACTGGAGCTAAAGAAAGACTGAAATAAGCAAAGGGCCTCTGGTGATTTCCATTTAACTGAAGCAGTTCCCTAGTGCCTGTTCAGATTTATAATAAAAGGAAAGGGGGTGGGGCAAGGGGAGGATCTGTGAATCCAGAACAATGGAGGAAACATTTGGAAGATAGTTTTATTGTACCAGTCTTTGTGTCCAAGGACTATGTTTCTTTTAACTTGAAAAACATATTCATTGAAAGATATTTAATAGACCTTACTTATATATAACTAACCTAGGAAGATCAACTCCTTTTTTAATTTGTCAGGATTGTTTTAACAGTAAGGTTGGTAGGGACTTCCCTGGTGGCGCAGTGGTTAAGAATCTGCCTGCCAACGCAGGGGACAGTTCGAGTCCTGGTCCCGGAAGATCCCACATGCCGCGGAGCAACTAAGCCCGTGCACCACAACTACTGAGCCTGCACTCTAGAGCTCGTGACCCACAACTACTGAGCACATGTGCCACAACTACTGAAGTCCGTGCGACTAGAGCCCGTGCTCCACAACAAGAGAAGCCACCGCAATGAGAAGCCCACACACCACAATGAAGAGTAGCCCCTGCTCGCCGCACCTGGAGGAAGGCCGCATGCAGCAACGAAGACCCAACGCAGCCAAAGTATAAATTAATTAATTAATTAAAAGAAAATAAGCTTGGTAGACAAAACTTCTCGCAATAGAATTGAAGTTTGGAGAACCTTTGGACAACCATTCCTATTGCCCTTACTTTTATGTGGTTAACAGCGAATCTTTATTTATGCCATTGAACGGCCACTTTAGAAAATCCACAGATAATGCAGGCATAAAATTCATCCTAACAATTTTATTATTTTGAATCTAGGTATGATTTTGGGAAAGGCAAAATGAAGACTAGTTTTTATAGAAGACAAGATATGTGATAAGTACCCCAAAATAGGAAATAATTTGATGAAAACTACCTTAGTTTACCCAAATTCTATTTTTACTTTTATTTTACATTATTCATGCACAGATTGTAGTAATTACTAATATACCTTTATATGCAAGTATTTAGGCATGTGTAAATATATTTAAGACATTTAAAGCTTATATTGAATACCTATAGATTTAAAACATAATTTATCAGTGTATTAAATACAAAATGTACATATCACTAAATTTACCATGTTAATAAGCAGAAAATCATATCCATTATGTTAAATACATATTTGTATTTCTCTGTAATTACTGTGCCTGGTATAATTAACTGTTTATATTCTCTTGAAGTGATCAACTATTTTTTTTTTCTCCAGAAAATTAGAGAACAGAAAATGAATTGTTTGGCTATTTTTTTCTCCATGAGCACTCATTTCATATCATTTTAATAATTTTGAGGGAAAAAGAAACATAAATAATATTATTCAAAGGCATTTTCATCATTTGTTAATGGATTGCCATTCTGAGAAATAAGGGTAAAAGTTTTATTTAGTGACTAATGTTTTGTATCAGTTTCTTATTTAGAAACTGTCCAGACTTCCAGTTTTAATTAATTCATTGTTTACCAAGGTCTTAAAGCTGAGAAAAGCTTAAATGTATAAAACAGATTTTGACACATATACATAAAAAGAGAGCGACAGATGGTTTAGACAGTAACTTGGACCCTTGATATTTTTATCAAGCTGTGTGATCAAAAAGCCAGTACTTAATACTCCTCAAAGTATAGAAAGGAAGGAGAGTATATTAAATATTCTCTATATTAAATAAAATGGTCTTTTTTTTTTAAAGACAAATAATGTCTTCATGGAGGTTTCTTCACTGTTTGTTCTTTTTTGTTCTAAAGTACCTCCCAAACATACAATCTTGCTCGTGTCAAAAGCCCCCTAAAATGGCCAGTGCAATTCCAAATTGTCCTTGGTGAAACTGTGACAGAATGATAAGCATACTAGTTAGTACTGTTAACAAGAAAAGATGAATATAATATGTGTTTGGCCTGAAAGAGGCACCATTTAGATTGAGAAGACCTTGAGAACTGGAATGGCCCTTAAAAAGAGTGCTTGGGTAACTTTTGTCTCCCCTGAGCCTGACCAAAGGCCAATGGTCACCAAGGAGTGGCCAGAAAAACCTTCTGAAATAGAGCAATTCTCTGAGACACAAGGACAGGACAGAAGAAGTCCTTGTAAGGTTTGAAATGATGGGAGGCAAAGGAGTACCATTCTGGGGAATCCCCTGGGTGCAACTTAAGGATGGACTGACTGGGTTTGGCAGGTCGACTTTATAGAGGCCTCCCTGATCCTGTCCCCTGGTGGTCACACCTTTGTGGAATTCCCCTCTTCCTTGAGTGTGAGCTGGACCTGTGACTTGCTTCCAACCAATGGAATGCAACAGAGGAGACAGAATCTAGGCCACTGCATTTATATGATTACCTAAGAGGGTAGCACCCATCTTGCTAAAGTCTCTCACTCCAGTGTTGGTTTTAAAGAAGCAACTTGCCATGAATTTTATAACCACAAGGAGATGACTTCTGCCAACAAGCTGGGAGAGCTTGGAAGCAGATACCTGCCCTGTCAAGGATCTGAGGAGAACCCAGCTTTGGCTGATGCCTTTTTTGAAGCCTTGTGAGGCCCTAAGCAGATTAGCGGGCTAAGCTGTGCCCAGAGTCCTGACCGAGAGAAACAGCAGGGTGATGAGCATGTGTGGTTTTAAGCGGCTGAGACTGTGGTAATACGTTACGTGACAACAGAAAACAAATGCTCTAGCCTATGCTCATCTCCCTACAGGCTTTTCCTCTTCTGGGCAATTTCATTTCTAAATATCCAACTTATCATTCAGATATTTTCCTCTAGTCATGAGCAGCAGAGGTTAAAATTACTTACCAAAGCTTTATTAGACTCTTTGGGTAAAAATTAACCAATGGTCTTTTCCCCATTTTAAACATTAATATTAGTCTAGTAAAAGAGGCAGAAAAACATTAGCAGGGGCTGCTTTTATCAATATTTATACAGCTGGCCTCAATCCAACTCCAGCAAGGACAGCTTCTGTTGAGGCATACAGGTCTCTCTCCAGTTAGACCCAGCCCTTCGAAGTTAGTGTCCTTCTGCTTTATATCCTCTCCAGGCCGTACATATACTGGATATTCAATAATTGTGGAATTGAAAGTGTGATTATCCTGAAGCTTATTCATTAATGATATCTGGCTTCACTTCACACAGCACTTCTACTTGATGCCAAAACTCTATGACAGGACAGATGCTGGGACCATAGGCAGTGAGTATGCCAATGTCACTGCTGCCTGAGTCAAATTTTACGAGACAAGGAAAATAAAGGGCAACTAGAATTCTGAGTCCTCAGCACCAACTTCAGTTAGCTGCCACAGAATTTCCCGGTACTGAACCTCTCTTAAAATTCTTACTTCTCCCCACCACTCCAGGTACCTGAAATAGAATAAAAGGAAATAAAACAACTTTCCCTAAATGATTTTTCCCTTCTCTTTTTTCTTTTAAATAGCAACGTCAACTGTTGGCAGAGGTTTCTAGGAATTCAAGGAACATCAATAAAGTTTAGGGCAAATGAGATTTATAATTAGAAAACAGATACTATTTTGGGTATTAAATTTAAGGATAAAATGAAGCCAAGTCCACATACGTATTTATAGACACCACAGCACAGAGCAGCCGGTCCAGCTGCACCCAGTGTCTAATGCTTCTGGCTGAATCTCTGTTCTCCAGGGGAACAGACTAAGCTCCTTTAGGGCAGGGACCACATTCTGGTCAGCTCTGGATTTCTCCAACACATAACACACTCTTCACTCAAAGGGCCACTCATAGAATGTGTTGAATTCAATTAAACGAGAAAACAATTTTTTTAAAAAGTTAACGACGATTGCTAAGGTGACATCTGAACCCACATGTTCAAACATTGCCATCCTTACCCATTTTCCAGTGAAACTACTGGAGGGAAAGGGGACAGAATTAAACCAATTAATAGCACTAAAACCTCCAAGCCTACACCAAGGAAGAATCACACCATGTTTAGCCAGTGAAAATGACTAGAATTTAAAACATATTTTAATGAGAACACTTTCTCACCATCTTGAAATAGAAATGACTTGCACTTTTTACTCTGAAGCCGCGAGGCCATCAGGACTTATTCACTTCCTGGTCCGTGGGGTTCTGAAGCCACCCCACCACCAGCTCTCCAGTGCTCTTGAGGCACGTGCTGGACATGTCCTCCTCTCTTGGGAGACCTTGTGGCAGCTTCAGGGGCTTGATTCTGTGACATAAGGGAATGCTTTTAGAGTTATACTAGGTAACACGTTTTAAGAAACTGCTGGAATAACAAACAACAAACCTTATCAAATGTTTAACCACTTTCAGTTTTGCATTCACCGAAGGGATATTCTTGTGAACTTGAGGAGTATGTGCCTACAAACAAAGGAAACAATGTTATGGATCAATTTCAAAAGCACAGATGGTCCCATGTTACAGGAAAAGGTTAAGGTGTAGGCTCATTCTGTCTAAATCAAACTTCCAGGTATATTACGTGAAATCATACATTTAAACAGAAGTTTTACAAGTGGAAAATTTAAAGCAAATTTAAACAACACTAAAGATGACTAAAATAGTTACATACTTTTTGTAACCCAAGCATCTTTATTATATCTTTCTCCCAATATGGACGTCTTTTTGTACTTTTTATTCTGGTAACAATATGCAGTTTATGAGGCTGCTGTGGATCCCCACCATATTTTTCATGATCTTCAGGTGAAGGTTGAAAAACCTGGAAAGGAAGAATTATAAACGGTATATTTTCAATTTACACAGCTTCTATGTGCCTCCTTTATTTTTTTTTCCTTAAAAAAACTTCAAACAACTACATAATGATTTCATCCCTAATAGTTCTATAATCCTCACCCTCAAATTGAACATTTCTACCAGTCTGATTACTCAGATAGATGGAATCTAAGAATTTCATACTCTAAGAAAAATACCACACAGGCAAGGGTTTGTTTTGTTTTGCTTTTATTAAGAGAAAAGCAGGAGCAACCAGATGACACTAAAGAGTTCAAATGTCAAGAGAATATGTTGCATTATATGAGCTGGGCCTTGGGCTGCATCCCCTCCCCCATTCAAGTAGGGGGACAAACAAAAACTTACAATAACACATGAGTATTATAAAAAGTACGTATTCGCTGCAACCCCGAATAAGGATGTATGTACAACACTATTTGTAATACTGAAATTTTTTTTTTTTGTGGTACGCGGGCCTCTCACTGTTGTGGCCTCTCCCGTTGCGGAGCACAGGCTCTGGACGTGCAGGCTCAGCGGCCATGGCTCACAAGCCCAGCCGCTCCGCGGCACGTGGGATCTTCCCGGACCGGGGCACAAACCCGTGTCCCCTGCATCGGCAGGCGGACTCTCAACCACTGTGCCACCAGGGAAGCCCAATACTGAAAATTTTAAAGGCCACATCTATATTCCTCAAGAGAATAGCTAAATAAATTATGAGGCATACATTCTAAATAAAACTAAAAATAATATAACTAAATAAGATATGATGCAAATAAATTATGATGAATCCTACTGGCTATAAGGCTACCGTTAAAACAAAGTTTACTATCTTTGTAAGTACTAACATTGAAGGATGGTCATAATATATTGAGCAAAAAAACCAAATTTCCACACCACTGTGTAACAGGATCTTGTATTTGTTTCATCTACACCATGATGAGTGTGTATATATGATATATTCTGTAACTACTAATTCTAAGAATATGATCCTAAATTCTATTTTTTCTTTTTCACATCTTTATTGGAGTATAATTGCTTTACAATGGTGTGTTAGTTTCTGCTTTATAAGAAAGTGAATCACCTATACATATACATATATCCCCATATCTCTTCCCTCTTGCGTCTCCCTCCCACCTTCCCTATCCCACCCATCTAGGTGGTCACAAGGCACTGAGCTGATCTCCCTGTGCTATGCAGCTGCTTCCCACTAGCTATCTATTTTACATTTGGTAGTGTATATATGTCCATGCCACTCACTTCATCTCAGCTTACCCCTTCCCATCTCCGCAACTTCAAGTCCATTCTCTATGTCTGCGTAGTTATTCCTGTCCTGCCCCTAGGTTCTTCAAAACCTTTTTTCTTTTTAGATTCCATATATATGTGTTAGCATACGGTATTTGTTTATCTCTTTCTGACTTACTTCACTCTGCATGACAGTCTCTAGGTCCATCCACCTCACTACAAATAACTCAATTTTGTTTCTTTTTATGGCTAATATTCCATTGCATATATGTGCCACATCTTCTTTACCCATTCACCTATTGATGGATACTTAGGTTGTGTCAATGTCCTGGCTATTTTAAATAGAGCTGCAATGAACATTCTGGTACATGACTCTTTTTGCATTATGGTTTTCTCAGGTTATATGCCCAGTAGTGGGATTGCTGGATCATATGGTAATTCTATTTTTAGTTTTTTAAGGAACCTCCATACTGTTCTGCACAGTGACTGTATCAATTTACATTCCCACCAACAGCACAAGATGGTTCCCTTTCCTCCACACTCTCTCCAGCATTTATTGTTTGTAGATTATTTGATGATGGCCATTCTGACTGGTGTGAGGTGATACCTCATTGTAGTTTTGATTTGCATTTCTCTAATGATTAGTGATGCTGAGCATTCTTTCATGTGTGTGTTGGCAATCTGTATATCTTCTTTGGTCGACTTAGGCCTTCTGCCCATTTTTGGATTGGATTTTTTTTTGATATTGCGCTGCATGAGCTGCTTGTATATTTTGGAGATTAATCCTTTGTCAGCTGCTTCATTTGCAAGTATTTTCTCCCATTCTGAGGGCTGCCTTTTCATCTTGTTTATATTTTCCTTTGCTGTGCAAAAGCTTTTAAGTTTCATTAGGTCCTATTTGTTTAGTTTTGTTTTTATGTCCATTTCTCTAGGAGCTGGGTCAAAAAGGATCTTGCTGTGATTTATGTCATAGACTGTTCTGTCTATGTTTTCCTGTAAGAGTTTTATAGTGTCTGGCCTTACATTTAGGTGTTTAATCCATTTTGAGTTTATTTTTGTGTATGGTATTAGGGAGTATTCTAGTTTCATTCTTTTACATGTAGCTGTCCAGTTTTCCCAGCACCACTTATTGAAGAGGCTGTCTTTTCTCCATTGTATAGTCTCGCTTCCTTTATCAAAAATAAGGTGACCATATGTGTGTGGGTTTATCTCTGGGCTTTCTATCCTGTGCCGTTGATCTATATTTCTGTTTTTGTGCCAGTACCATATTGTCTTGATTACTGTAGCTTTGTAGTATAGTCTGAGGCCCAGGAGCCTGATTCCTCCAGCTCCGTTTTTCTTTCTCATGACTGCTTTGGCTACTCGGGGTCTTTTGTGTTTCCATACAACTTGTGAAATTTTTTGTTCTACTTCTGTGAAAAATGCCAGTGGTAGTTTGATAGGGATTGCATTGAATCTGTAGATTCTGTTGAGTAGTACAGTCATTTTCACAATATTGATTCTTCCATTCCAAGAACATGGTATATCTCTCCATCTGTTTGTATCATCTTTAAATTCTTTCAACAGTGTCTTATAGTTTTCTGCGTACAGGTCTTTTGTCTCCTTAGGTAGGTTTATTCCATGGTATTTTATTCGTTTTGTTGCAATGGTAAATGGGGGTGTTTCCTTAATTTCTCTTTCTGATTTTTCATCATTAGTGTACAGGAATGCCAGAAATTTCTGTGCATTAATTTTGTATCCTGCTACTCCACCAAATTCATTGATTAGCTCTAGTAGTTTTCTGGTAGCATGTTTAGGATTCTCTATGTATAGTATCATGTCATCTGCAAACAGTGACAGCTTTACTTCTTTTACATTTGGATTCCTTTTATTTCTTTTTCTTCTCTGATTGCTGTGGCTAAAACTTCCAAAACTATGTTGAATAATAGTGGTGAGAGTGGACAACCTTGTCTTGTTCCTGATCTTAGGGGAAATGGTTTCAGTTTTTCACCACTGAGAACGATGTTGGCTGTGGGCTTGTCATATATGGCCTTTATTATGTTGAGGTAAGTTCCCTCTATGCCTACTTACTGGAGGCTTTTTATCATAAATGGGTGTTGAATTTTGTCAAAAGCTTTTTCTGCATCTATGGAGATGAGCATATGATCTTTATCCTTCAATTAGTTAATATGGTGTATCACACTGGTTGATTTACATATATTGAAGAATTCTTGCATTCCCGGGATAAACCCCACTTGATCATGGTGTATGATCCTTTTAATGTACTGTTGGATTCTGTTTGCTAGTATTTTGTTGAGGATTTTTGCATCTATGTTCATCAGTGATATTGGTCTTTAACTTTCTTTTTTTGTAGTATCTTTGTCTGGTTTTGGTATCAGGGTGATGGTGGCCTCATGGAATGAATTTGGGGATGTTCCTTCCTCCACAACTTTTGGAAGAGTTTGAGAAGGATAGGTGTTAGCTCTTCTCTAAATGTTTGATAGAATTCGCCTGTGAAGCCATCTGGTCCTGGACTTTTGTTTGTTGGAAGATTTAATCACAGTTTCAATTTCATTACTTGTGGTTGGTCTGTTCATATTTTCTATTTCTTCCTGGTTCAGTCTTGGAAGGTTATACCTTGCTAAGAATTTGTCCATTTCTTCCAGGTTGTCCATTTTATTGGCATATAGTTGCTTGTAGCAATCTCTCATGATCCTTTGTATTTCTGCAGTGTCAGTTGTTACTTCTTTTTCATTTCTAATTCTGTTGATTTGAGTCTTCTCCCTTTTTTTCTTGATGAGTCTGGCTAATGGTTAATCAATTTTGTTTATCTTCTCAAAGAACCAGCTTTTAGTTTTACTGACATTTGCTACTGTTTCCTTCATTTCTTTTTCATTTATTTCTGATCTGATCTTTATGATTTCTTTTCTTCTGCTAACGTTGGGGTTTTTTTGTTCTTCTTTCTCTAATTGCTTTACGTGTAAGGTTAGGTTGTTTATTTGAGATGTTTCTTGTTTCTTGAGGTAGGACTGTACTGCTATAAACTTCCCTCTTAGAACCTCTTTTGCTGCATCCCATAGGTTTTGGGTCGTGTTTTCATTATCGTTTGTTTCTAGGTATTTTTTGATTTCCTCTTTAATTTCTTCAGTGATCTCTTGGTTATTAAGTAGTGTAATGTTTAGCCTCCAAGTGTTCGTATTTTTTAGATTTCTTCTTGTAACTGATATCTACTCTTAAAGCTTTGTGGTTAGAAAAGATACTGATACAATTTCAATTTTCTTAAATTTACCAAGGCTTGATTTGTGACCCAATATACGATCTATCCTGGAGAATGTGCCATGAGCACTTGAGAAGAAAGTGTATTCTGTTGTTTTTGGATGGAATGTCCTATAAATATCAACTAAGTCCATCTTGTTTAATGTATCATTTAAAGCTTGTGTTTTCTTATTTATTTTCATTTTGGATGATCTGTCCATTGGTGAAAGTGGGGTGTTAAAGTCCCCTACTATGATTGTGTTACTGTCGATTTCCCCTTTTATGGCTGTTACTATTTGCTTTATGTATTGAGGTGCTCCTATGTTGGGTGCATAAATATTTACACTTGTTATATCTTCTTCTTGGATTGATCCGTTGATCATTATGTAGTGTTCTTCTTTGTCTCTTATAATAGTCTTTATTTTAAAGTCTATTTTGTCTGATATGAGAATTGCTACTCCAGCTTTCTTTTGATTTCCATTTGCATGGAATATCTTTTTCCATCCCCTCACTTTCAATCTGTATGTGTCCCTAGGTCTCAAGTGGGTCTCTTGTAGACAGCATATATACAGGTCTTGTTTCTGTAACCATTCAGCCAGTCTGTGTCTTTTGGTTGGAGCATTTAATCCATTTACATTTAAGATAGTTATTGATATGTATGTTCCTATTCCCATTTTCTTAATTGTTTGGGGTTTGTTATTGTAAGTCTTTTTCTTTTCTTGTGTTTCCTGCCTAGAGAAGTTCCTTTAGCATTTGCTGTAAAGCTGGTTTGGTGGTGCTGAATTCTCTTAGCTTTTGCTTGTCTGTAAAGGCTTTAATTTCTCTGTCGAATCTTAATGAGATCCTTGCTGGATAGAATAATTTTGGTTGTAGGTTTTTCCCTTTCATCACTTTAAATATATCCTGCCAGTCCCTTCTGGCTTGCAGAGTTTCTGCTGAAAGATCAGCTGTTAACCTTATGGGGATTCCCTTGTATGTTATTTGTTGTTTTTCCCTTGCTACTTTTTTTTTCTTTGTATTTAATTTTTGATATTTTGATTAATTTGTGTCTTGACAGGTTTCTCCGTGGATTTATCCTGTATGGGACCCTCTGTGCTTCCTGGAGTTGACTGACTATTTCCTTTCCCATATTAGGGAAGTTTTCAACTATAATCTCTTCAAATATTTTCTCAGTCCCTTTCTTTTTCTCTTGTTCTTCTGGGACCCCTATAATTTGAATGTTGGTGAGTTTAATGTTGTCCCAGAGGTCTCTGAGACTGTCCTCAATTCTTTTCATCCTTTTTTCTTTATTCTGCTCTGCAGTAGTTATTTCCACTATTTTATCTTCGAGGTCACTTATCTGTTCTTCTGCCTCAGTTATTGTGCTATTGATTCCTTCTAGAGAATTTTTAATTTCATTTATTGTGCTGTTCATCTTGTTTGTTTGCTCTTTAGTTCTTCCAGGTCCTTGTTAAATGTTTCTTGTATTTTCTCTATTCTACTTCCAAGATTTTGGATCATCTTTACTATCATTACTGTGAATTCTTTTTCAGGCAGACTGCCTATTTCCTCTTCATTTGTTTGGTCTGGTGGGTTTTCACCTTGCTCCTTCATCTGCTGTGTGTTTCTCTGTCTTCTAATTTTGCTTAACTTACTGTGTTTGGGGTTTCCTTTTTGCAGGCTACAGGTTAGTAGTTCCCGTTGTTTTTGGTGTCTGCCCCCAGTGGCTAAGGTTGGTTCAGTGGGTTGTGTAGGCTTCCTGGTGGAGGGGACTGTTGCCTGTGTTCTGATGGATGAGGCTGGATCTTGTCTTTCTGAAGGGCAGGACCATGTCTGGTGGTGTGTTTTGGGGTGTCTGTGACCTTATTATGATTTTAGGCAGCCTCTCTGCTAATGGGTGCAGTTGTGTTCCTGTCTTGCTAGTTATTTGGCATAGGGTGTCCAGCACTGTAGCTTGCTGGTTGTTGAGTGGAGCTGGGTGTTAGGTTTGAGACAGAGATCTCTGGGAGAGCTCTTGCCGCTTGATATTACATGGAGCCGGGAGGTCTCTGGTGGACCAATGTCCTGAACTCGGCTCTCCCAACTCAGAGGTACAGGCCTGACACCTGGCCAGAGCACGAAGGCCCTGTCAGCCACCCGGCCAGTTACGTGGGGAGTTTCTTGCCTTTTGGGAAGTCTGAGGTCTTCTGCCAGCATTCAGTAGGTGTTCTGTAGGAGTTGTTCCACATGTAGATGTATTTCTGATGTATTTGTGGGGAGGAAGGTGATCTCCACGTGTTACTCCTCCACCATCTTGAAGGTCTCTCCCCTAAATTCTAAATATGATTCTAACAATTATATATACATGTGTGTGTATTTTATATATATATATATATTTATCCTTATTTGTACAAAGGTGTCAAAAACATTAGGTCAAGAGTCATACCTCTGGGGAATCAGACTGAGGAAGGCCAAAAAAAAAGATGGTACTTTAATCAAAAAGGATATTATTCAATCATTAACTTATCCACAGAGGGTTCACATTACATTGCTAAATGATGAAAGCAGCTGGAGAAGCATTATAGGCAAGATGATGCACATCTTCAAAAATATTTAACAGAAAAGTATGTGGAGGGTGTTAGCAGTATTTGCCTCCAGGTGGGTAGGATGAAGGGTATTTTTCTAGAGATTTTGATGGTGTAGGTGCACCAAAGAAAAGGAGAGAAGAATTAAAGAAATGGTGTGAGGAGCATGAAATATTCAGGAAAAGTAAGTGGTTCTGTGTGACTAAGGTAGAAAAAAATAGGAAAAGCAATGCAGGGCGAGAAGTTAAACTAAGCTTAACTATGCTTAGTCTTTAGAAATTCCCAGAATGGATATAAGGTTATTGGAGGTTTGAAGCAAAATGACATTTCAAAAATAGATTCAGAAAGAAAACTTTTTCAAATGAACTGGAGGTGGAGACAGATACAAGGAAACTCAGGAAGCACTTAGAGCCATGGTTTAAGAGTCTGAATTACAGCAGCTGTAACAGAAAGAGGCTGATTTGGGGACTTTAGGTAATAAAATAGATGGATTTGTGGTGGGTGAGGGAGAAGATAGGGTTGAGATTGACTTAGAGCTTTCTAGTCTGGGAAATCAGGTAGAGGATGGTAGCATTAACTGACATCACTAATACAGGACAAGCACCCTCTTTTAGTTTGGTTGTCTGGAGGACAACCTCATTTGTAAGACAATGAGTCTAATTTTGGATAACTTGAAATACCTACAGGTTATCTAAGCAGCAAGGTCTAGAAACTACAGGAGAATATAGGAGTAAGTTCAGAAGATAGGCAAAGGGGCTGGAGATGCAAATCTCAGGGTCATTTCTATAAAGTTTAAAAGTTTTCATGCTCACTACAACCAGTGATCAAAATCACTCCCCCCACATTTTAAACAAATGCTAACATCTGTATCTATCATTTCTTCCAGAAGTTTACAGTCTAAGAAACATGAAAACATATAAGACAATGCAGTTGTGGACCATGACTTGAAAAAAAAGAGATTTCTGATAAAAGAACATCAAGCACATTAAAGGTATCTAAATAGTCAATGGTAATATTAGTTTAGCTTTTAAAAAAATCAGTGGAGAATGGTGGTTACCAGGGACTAGGGGGAGAAGGTATGAGGAGTTACTGTTTAATGAGTACAGAGGTCCAGTTTTGCAAGATGAAGCATTCTGGAGATGGTGGCTGTGATGGTCACATGACAATATGAATGTACTTAATACCACTGAAATGTACACTTAAAAATGTTTAAATTTTATGTTGCATGTATTTTACCACAGTACAAAAAAATTGGAGAAATCAAAATAAAACAGAAATCTACTGAGGGCTTAGTCAGTGTTCTCTAAAAGAATCATAGGTAGACACAAATCCAGCAGAGAAGAAGATCCAAATTAGCAATGGCTGATAGAGAAAGTGAAAACCAAGAGCCACACAGACAGTCTGAGCAGGAGGAAGAAACACTGTTTTCTCAGGACAATGGTGATATGAAAACACAAAGTATCAAGGGAAAAAGCCATAAGCAGGAATAAACAGATTCTGAGACCAAAACCCAGTACTTAAAAGGTCAGTGGCACATATTTATTTTAAATAATCATTTACATAAATCCTACTATGTTTAATTTAAAAAAAATTTTTTATTTTTAAACTTTTTATTGGAGTACAGTTGATTTACAATGTTGTGTTAATATCACGTGCACAGCAAAGTGAGTCAGTTATACATATACATATAGCCACCTCTTTTTTTAGATTCTTTTCCCATATAGGCCATTATAGAGTATTAAGTAGAGTTCCCTGTGTTATGCAGTAGGTTCTTATTAGTTATCTATTTTATATATAGTAGTGTGTATATGTCAACCCCAATCTTCCAATTTATCCCTCCCACATAAATCCTATATTTTAAACTCTACACTTCTACCTATACCCACAAATAATTTAACATGAAAGTTTTCAATATTACAAAAAGCGGTACCTTCAAAACATAATGTAACAGGGAAGAGAGAATTCTGACTCCATGTTGGTTCTGTTTCTTTTACTTTAACCTTTGCTTTTCGTTGCTTTTGTTATAGCTGTAAGCATAGATAATGGCCTGGCACAAGGAACCCTGCCCCTCTGCTTGATAAACTAAAAGGCCTTTGTTCAGCTCACAGACAGACATTCTGACCCTGACCACCTGTGAATGGCTACAGAAAAGAAGAAATTAACACATCCCTTCCCCATGCAGGCCGAGGGAGGAGATTTTGCAACACAAATGGCCTTTTTACTTTACTTCCTCACCTCCTCCCCCTGTCTGTTCTATAAAAGAAACTGGCATCCTGACCCCAATAAGATGGTTTTTGGGTACACTAGTCCGCCATCTTCTCGGTCTGCCGGCTTTTCAAATAAGAGTCGCTATTCCTTGCCTCAACACCTCATCTCCCGATTTATTGGCCTGCCCTGCGGTGAGCAGAATGAGCTTGGACCCGGTAACAGTAACATGTTTTTCAAAAACAGTAACGTAAAAACTTACTTTATCTGGAATTCTTGACTTTGTAAATTTGTGACGAATCCAATCTGTACAAACAAGGGGCTCCACACCTTTTGTCACCATCTAAAATATGCCATAAAACATTTGATTTTTAGAACTCTATCTAGTGCAGAAATCATAATCTACCAATTTTTAGGTGACAAAATCTGTTCTCACCTAACCTGTAATTATTAAACATTTATCTCAGCCCCCTAGCTGAATGAATACATCTCATCTTACCACTAACATGAAGAAAAAACACATTAAATATAAACTTCTAGACCAGCAGTTGGCAATATTTTTCTGTAAAGAACCAGACAGTAAATATTTCCAGCTCTGGGGCTACACAGTTTCTGCAGCCAAGTCTCAGCTCTGCCACAGCAGGGCGAAAGCAGTTGTTGACAATATGTAAACAAATCGGTGTGGCTATGTTTCAATAAAACTTTTACAAAAATAGGTGGTGGGCTGAATTTGGCTTGTAGGTTATAGTTTGTCAGTGTGCTCTAGACAACATACGATAATTCAGCTTCAGCAATACAGTGTAAAAGAAAGCCAAAATGAGTTTCCAGTTTTCTTTCTAGTCCCAAGAATGCCATCAACTCCTGTTTCCTGTCTCTTGTTCCCTTTCTACAATCTTCCAGTCGTGTTTCTCTCAGGCTGCATAAGAAAAAGGATTCACTGCTAATCCTTCATACCAGGAAACTCCTGTGGGTGGAAAATAATCATTCCCTTCATGCCCTCCCTGTACTGCAGAGATGGTATAAACAATGGGAGAATAAGCAGGAGGGAATTGGGGGTTAGGGGGAGACTGGTGAAGGACATGGGCTTTGACATACCAGGAACATTGGGCCTCTAATCCTGCTCTGTACTTACCAGCTGTGACATATGAGATACTTATCCTCTCAGAGGGTCGGTTTCCTCAGCTATAAAAAGGAAATAATACTTACCACGCAGGATTAATCTGAGGTTAAGGTAAGTGTGTAAAGCACCTGGCATTATTATTATCTAAAGGCAGCAGCAGGTCCTATCTAGACTCTGGACCTCATGAATAGATTAGGCTGCACCACTGAAATTTCTAAAAGAAAGACTGGAAGGAAATATATGAAAGTACAAACATTAATGGCCTCTGGGAAACTGTTTCTCTTCTTTCTGCTTTTCTACATTTTTCTAATTTTCTATTACTGAGAATGGACTCTTCATAACTGAAGGAAAAAAAAAATCTAAAACTTTCAAAAGATTAAGGTGGGCCATGGGGAATCAACACTAGCCATTTTTTACCAGCATTTTCTCCAGAAAAAGGTCTTTTGTGATTTCAGATCTTTAGGGATAAAACAGCAGATAAACCACAAATAAAATTAACGTTCAACATTAAAAAAGTATATATATATATATATATATAAAGAAACTTAAAATTTTAACTTGCCTGTATGTTTTGTTAATTAGAAAAGAGAGAAAAAGTTCTTAAGGAATAGGAAAAAAAAAAAGATCATTCTTGAAAAGAAATACTTACTTGTAGTCTGCCTGGGGGCCTCTGAACTATTGAGCGCAAAATCCCTGCCATGAGTGTGGTGACTGTTTTCCTTAGGGGCTGTGAGAAGTAGAAAACAGATCTGTGGTCAGGTATGTCTTAGAAATGGATAGCTCAAACTGAAAAACTGGATGAAGTTTAACAGCAAAATCTTGATTGTTTCAATACACTAAGGACAAGAATTAAGTTACAATAGATGTTTTATTCAGAGTTCAAGAAAACCACAGGAAGTAGTTATACATTAACCATATCCCATTTTCACCAGAGTTAAATTACACCCTAGGCTGATTCAACAAAAATAGGCAATGGAGGTTACTATCATTTAAAAAATCTTCAACAGCAAGGGCAGATATAAAGAATGCTTTGCTATAGAATCAAAAAAAAAAAATTAAAGAGCTGGAAGGGACCGAAGAAATCCAAACTCCTAATTAGGACTGACAACGCTCTTACTTTATTTATGAGGAAAATGAATCCCAGAGAGTTCAATCATTTACCGAAGGGCATCCAGCTTTCAAGAGAGTATATGGTCTGGAACCCAAACCTCCTAATACCTAGTCCAGCATATTTTCACTAAGTCATAACACCCTTCTGTTAAATAAAGCAGAATGTTCTTTTTTGCTTATTTATATTTGTAGACTATTCTTAACGAACATGCATTGCATTTATAAACTAAAGGTCATGTTTATTTAGACACAAAACAATTATAGCCTACCGACTTAAACTGAATGCAGAAAGATTAAGTTCATGAACTACATGTATATTTTGGACAGGTTACTTAATTTGTACGTTTCAATTTTTCCCCCCAAAGAATAGAAAAAAAAAAAATACCTATCTTGCAAATGAATTACTCTGAAAACACCTAAAACAGTACTTGGCACATAAGAAGCCCTCAATAAATGGTAGTTTTTACTATTATAATATCATTAAATTATTACAAAGCTATAATAAGAATACCCTAACATGCCAAAATAGGGCAAGTACTGTATTTCAGTGCCCACCAGATTCTGGCTCACTCGAGCTCTGCAGGTCTTTCCTGTGGTGTGGACAAAGCAGTGAAGCTACTGGGATCAATGCGAGATGTCCCATTAGAAGGGCCTGACTTCAGAAAAAGTCTCAGCAACCGAACCAGTCTCTCAAAACTAATTACGTATCAGTTTTAGAAGAGTTAACTACTATATCCTTACGCCCCGAAAACAAGAATTTTGTTTTGTTCATCTTCTACTCTCAACATCTGGCACACCATCTGATGGACAGTAGGCACCCGTGTTTGTTGATGAATGTCTGAATCAGTTAATGGGTTAGATCCATGGTCCGCTCAACTCAGAATTCAGAAGTACCTCAGAATTTCATAACTGCCATTCGGACTTCAGACCTCAAACATTACAATACAGCAGAGCAATTTCTAGTTCACATCATCCAGTTTGCTTGGCTGGTTGTTTAGATCCTTTGTATCAAGGCTTCTTTAGAAGAGACGCTTAATCCTCCGGCCCTCCCATCAAATAGACAATGCTAAATTATTTTCTCTACCATACTCATTCCTCCCAAGTTAAGCGTTAGGTACTAACCCAATTTATTTAGCTTCACTCTTTGTTAAATCTTTCTCTTATCCCTTAGATTTCAACAAGAGCCTCCTAACTGGCCTTCCTGCTTCTATTCTAACTTCCCCAAGGTCTTTTCTCCACAGCAGCAATCATCTCATTAAGTCCGAAATCAGATAATGTCAACTCCTCCGCTCAAAACCTTCCAATGAGCCAGGTTTCTCATTATCAGAGTAGGAGGTTACACACAGGCCAGAGAGGAAGGCTACAATGATCCATGTGATCCAGTGACAGAGGATTAGTGTTGGAACTCATGTTTAGCTTAATACAGATATGATGCATCTAGAAATAATTATAGATACATATACACACATGGGTTAGCTGTTAGCCGAGAGGACCTAAAGGCAATGGCATCCCAGTAGCGATGAGCTCGCCCAGTGCCCAGATCTTAGTTTCTAATGGCATTCTCTAAAAAAAAGAACCAGGACTCCTTGGAGAAATGGCTGATTATATGGCTGTAGCAGGGAATATATAATGATGAGTCTGGAGCACCTAGTGCTAGAAAGGAACTACTCAAAAAATCAAAATGATGGGGGTATGTCAAAGGGACCAGAAGCCAAATGAAAGAGCTCCCAGTGGCTACAGCTGAAATAATATGAGCAACAAAATAAGTAACAAAGTATTGGCTTATAATCCAAAACATAAACTAACCATGAGTCCATACTGATATAAATAGATGAATAAATTAATGAGGGAGAAGAAACAAATCTCCCTTACAGAAGAATTTCAAATAATTTATGTAGACACTCCCCTCTCAAAGAGGTGGAGGAAAGCTATCAACCCTGAGGCACGGGCTATGCTTAAACACTTGCTATCAGAATATAGCATAGAAAGGGGGGAAAATACCGTTACATTAGAGGAACCTAACAAATACTATGTCATCGAGGTGATCAAGATTAACATCAATTGTGATAAAAGTCAAGCTGATAGCATGTATCCTTGATATGATGGAATGAGAATGGCCCTTCACCTCTATGTCTTCCTTCCAAAAACCCCTAACACTTCTCTAACAGAAAAATATCAGACAAACTCCAATTGAAGGACATTGTACAAAATACTTGACCAGTACCTCCTCAAATACCTGACTGCCTCGAAACTGTCAAGGTCATCAAAACCAAGGAAAGTCATAGTCAAACTGTCATAGTCAGGAGGAGCATTTGACAACTAAACACAATGTGGTATCTTGGATGGTATTCTGGAACAGTAAAAGGACATCAGGTAAAAACTAACAAAATCTGAATGAAGTATGACCTTTAGTTGATAACGTATCAATATTGGCTCATCAATTATAACGAATGTACCATACTAATGTAAGATGTTAGTAAAAGGGGAAACTTGGTGTGGGGGGTATGTAGGAACTCCATACTATTTTCATAACGTTTCCATAAATCTAGTTATTCCAAAATTAAAAGTTTATTTATTACAAGACTAAAAAGCTCCAATGCCTCTCCATTTCAATCAGAGTGACAGCCAGTGCTAAACCCCTGCCTTGAGGACACCACCTCCATACTCTTGGTCAATCGCTACACACACTGGCCCCGTTGCAGGTCCTGGAACCTGCCATGCAGGTATACTCCCCTGACTGGCTGTTCCCTCTCCTGGAATGCCCCTGATATCCATATAGTTAACTCTCTTACATCCTTCAATTTCTGGCCTAATTCTCATCTTCTCAATGAGTTCTACCCTGATTCCATTATTTAACATTTTGACCCACACTACAATTGTCAGCACTCCCAATCTCTCTTACTCTCCTTGATTTTCTTTCCATAGCATTTAACATCTTCTAACATAATTTAATTTTTTGTTAGGTTTGTGGTTTATTGTCTGTTCCCATCCAACAGCATGTTGCTTCCACAAGCACAAAGATTTTTAAATTTTCTTTTGTTTTAGGCTTGCTCTGTCTATTCACAGATGTATCCCAAGCATCTACCTAAAGCAGCACTGCCATGTAGCAGCCACTCAGTTAATTTTTGCTGAATGAATGAAGTGTCATTTACATACTTCAGAATGTGTGACAGTCAAAAGTTGTAAGTTTCAATAAAGGTTATTCTTAATAATTAGGCACATAACTCTTGGACCTTGAAGCAATTATACTGTCTTTCACCGTACAATTAAGTTTCTCTTGCAAAGACACAAAAGCAGGAAAATAAATGCACCATATGAGAAGGATGATCCCATTTCCATTAATTAAAAAAAAAAAAAAGATGTCTGTGAATGTGTGTGTAAACAGAGAAAAACTCCGGAAGGCTATCAGAGAAACGTTAGCATACCCAGGGAGAGGAGAGCTGGCTACCAGGGCTATTTCCGCCCCTCCCCGACGTCCCACACCCCCCGTAATGTCTGATAGGTTTGTTGTTGCTCTTTTACAATGACCATGCGTGTAACTGTTGTTTAAAAAAAACTAATTCCTTTTCTAAAGAGACATAATGGTAAATGGGGGGGGGCACTACTGAAAATGCAGAACATAGGATTTCCCTTTCAATAAATCGACATCCCTGAAGGCAAGAAATGTCTCTTGAACTCCTAATGCCTTCTAGGCAGACGTCCGAAGTGCCTCTTGGAATAAACAAAACTAAACAAAAAACCGCGGAAAAAGCAGCTCTGGGTAGGTGGCGATCAAAACGCGGTTGCAAAATCACGGCTTTTAGTAAAACGGTAAATATTTTAACTGCCAACTTCAGAGGATTTACGTTCTAGAACGCGGCAATTTTTAAATTAGGCAATTTTGTATCTCCATCAACAATTCAAGTTAGGCTGACCCCAGAGGAAAGCCGAAGTTATGCATAAAGCAGAAGCACAGAAAATGTTAAAACATACTTGAATTCCCTTTCCCCCCAGACTGCCCAGCCAAGCCGAGCTCTGTCCTCGAGCTCCAGCAGGCGGGGCTCCACATGCCGCGTCCCGGGATTCCACAAACTGGGAAACGGGATCCAGCCGGCCAGTGGCTTTTCGGGAGCCCAAGGGACAGTACCTGGACGTAGTTCCATTCAGGTTACTGTGACCCGTAAACACAGAACCGAATGGAGAAAATCAATCCGCATCTGCATAGGGTTCCCAGATATGTACTCCTGGCAAAAATGCACTACTTCCGGCCACTCATTCCCCACTCACCAGCAATTCCTAAATGTCTTTCAGCCTGAAGCTCACCACTCAGGGGAACCGGAACAGAGAAAGGACCCAGAGTGCCACACTCAAATCCGGCCTTCACAGCGCACACACCCTGGCATTTTAGTTCCGGCCGAGTCCCTCCCACTCAGGCATCATAAAAAGAGAGCGCAGGCGCATTGGAGTCACGTGACCGCTCCCGGCAGCGCTGCAGACCCGACAGCCTAGGGGGAGGTTGGGGCGGAAGGGAGTTGCTGGCATTATGGCGGGGTCTCTCCTGGGCCAGGACTCTGGAAGCTCAGCTGCAGTTACTGTGATAAAGCGGGCGTTGGAACTAGAGTCCGAGTCCCGGTACCCGCAGGCTCTGGTGTGTTACCAGGAGGGAATTGATATGCTCCTGCAGGTTCTGAAAGGTGAGCAGTGAGCCGGGGAGGGAGGACTAGAGGAAAAGGAGCTGCAATCTGCTGTGTCTGGGCGGGAGTGAAAGATTAAAACGCTTACTGTGCACAGCGAGAAAGCCTTAAAATACAGAACGTAGGGTAGTTTACAGGACAGGTGGACTGATTTCTTTGATATCTTTAGTAGATTGATGTTGTCAATAAAAGAGGGATTACTATCCTAGAATTTTAAGAGACATAACCAAATGTAATAGATAAGCCTTGAAAGGATTTGGGTTTGAATGAACTGTAAAAGACGTTTTGGGATCAAGTTGGAAAGGTTGAATATGGATTGGGTAGCATTAAAATTAACTTTGTTAGGTAGTATGGTATTTTTCGAAATCTGTTCTTAATTTTAGAGATGAAGCCTGAAGAAGTGTTTGGGGAAGAATTGTCATGATGTCTGAATTTGATTTTACTTTAAAAGAAAGTTGAAGCAAATATGGCAAAATGCTAACAATTTTTAAATCTAGGTGGTGGGTAATAAGGGTGTTCGTTACACCCTTTTCCTTACTTTTCTCATTAAACATTTTAATTAAAAAAAATTTTTTTTTTTGTCCGTGACCCGCAGCATGTGGGATCTTAGTTCCCAGACCAGGGATCTAACCCGCGCTCCTGTATTGGAAGCGCGGAGTCTTAACTACTGGACCGCCAGGGAAGTCCCTTCATTAAAAGTTTAAAAAAATATTTTTTTAAAATTAGAAATGGGTATACTGACATTCGGTGTGAGAAATGTATAGGATTGTGAGAGGAGACAGTTAAGACTTTCTGTTACATGGTTATTCAATGTTGAGAGGTACACAGATAACCCTTAACACCCAGTACAATCCCTGGTAGGTAGTAAACACCTAGTAATTATGTATTAAATTGACTTAAGGCCAGCCCCTGCTCCCCAGCCCCTGGGGCTGTTAGTCTGGCCTCAGATCTCCTCTCTGTGCTTTTTAGCCTGAGTGTTTCTGATTTGTTTCAGAAGCTTTGAGATAGTAGAGGCTGCTTTTCAATGTTCAGCACTGTTCTCAGAATGGTAAACCTCTACCTTGGGCAGGGACCATATGATGACGATGATGACGGTGATGATGGTGATGATAATGAGAGTAACATCATTTGTAAGTGCTGAGTGCCAGGCCGTGTGCAGAGCACGTTAAAAGCATGATCTCAATTCATTCTTACAATTGCCTTATGAAGTAGGTGATGTTATCCTCATTTTACAGCATAAAAAATAAAGTTTGCTTTCCAGTTCTGCCACAATTGGTAGAGTCACAGCTGAAACCCAAGGCTTTAAAGACTCTACTGACTCTCAGAAAGAGAGATGGTGTACATTGTTCGACTCTGAAGCAGCAGCATCACAGCGGTTCTGCTCCTCTGTGCTCCACTGATCCTGTGGGGCTTAGAGAGACAGTGACGTGATCTTGCAGGTTAAGATGTAAATGCAAATAACTCTAATACAGGGAAGAAGTGCCAGGAGCCATATGGACAAGTGCAACGAGGATTTAAACAGTTAACAGTCATTGGGGGATGGAAAGGTGTGGGTGGCTTTTGATAGGGGTTTTGGAGGGATGAGTAGAATTTCAGAAATTCAGCTGAAAGTGTTCCAATTCTGTCTGTACTGTTTTACCAAACAAGTGGCATAGGTCTGTAGAGAAAGAGTGAGAAGTAGAGATTAAAGGTAGACTGGGGCTTGGAGCACACTGCAGATGGCCTTGGCTGCCAGGAGATTTTAACTCATTCCGTTGACAAGGAGAAGCCATTTAAAGTTTTTACAAAGGAGTGATGTAATTAAAGTTGCATTTCAGGGCTTGGCTCTCTTAGGAATATGCTTTTCTCCCAAGTATTTGCATGACCTACTCCCGCTCCTCTTCCAGGTCTTTACACAAATACCACCTTATTTGTGAGGACATTCTCTGACCCCCAGTGTAAAATTACAACCCCCATCCCAGGACTCCCTTATCCTTCTTCCTTGCTTTATTTTATTTAATAGCACTTACCACAATCTAACATACGTGTTTTACCAATTTATTTATTTATTTTAAATCCATTCATCTGTCAGTGAACACTTAGATTGCTTCTACCTTTTGACTATTGTGAATTTCCCATTGCTTATTTATTTATTTGGCTGCGTTGGGTCTTTGCTACTGCGCATGGGCTTTCTCTAGTTGCGACGAGCAGGGGCTATTCTTTGTTACAGCGCGCGGGCTTCTCATTGCGGTGGCTTCTCTTGTTGTGGAGCACGGCCTCTAGGCATGTGGGCTTCAGTAGTTGTGGCACGCGGGCTCAGTAGTTGTGACTCACGGGCTCTAGAGCGCAGGCTCGGTAGTTGTGGCGCATGGGCTTAGTTGCTCCGTGGCATGTGGGATCTTCCCGGGCCAGGGATTGAACCCATGTTTCCCTGCATGGCAGGCCCCCCTGCATCCCATGTGCCACCAGGGAAGTCCTACCAATTTATTTTTATTGTTGTCTTTCCTCTCATTTGAATGATAGGGGAGGACTTAACTGCTACGTCTCCAGTGCTTAGAACAATGCCTGGCATGTGGTAAGTTCTCAGTAAATATTTCTTGAATAAATGAGTGAATATGGCAAGAGCGTAGGAGAGTCATTAACCTGAAGATACTGAAGTCAAGCAGACCAACTAAGGAGCTCCTGCAGAAGTCAAGATGAGAGGTGATAAGGGCCTGAATGAACCAGGGGGGCGACACCAGTATTAGGAAAGGGAGGGAACAGTCTGGACATTGAATTACTGGCACTGGCACGTGATTAGATGTTGGAATGGGAATTGAAGATGGCTGTATGATTTCAAGCCTGGAAAACCAAGGCATGTTTGAAGAATGGGTCTATAGTATCAAACTCTGATCAAGGATGATTAAGAAAGGAGTACTATATTTGTAGAGGACAGGGAAAATAGAGTATATTTATAGGCAGGAGCAAAGTAACAGTAGAGCTTAAGAAAAGAGATGTTAGATAAAATGTTCTAAAGGAATCTGAGAGGGAGGCGTATGGAAAAAATTATGTAGGTGATAATCATATTGACATTTATTGAGTATTTCCTACACGCAGGTCTCTTCCATAATTAATCATCTCCACAACTCTCTAAGGTACTGTTACTCCTTCTGTGCTACCGATGAGGTTGCAGAGAGGTTGAATAACTGGCCAAGGTCACACAGGCAAAAGTGACAAAGCAAGTTTTGAACTAGAACAGCCTGACTCCAGATGCTTTGCTGTTAACCACTTTTCATACTGCCTCTTTGTAAAGAGTCCGTAAAATGCTGAATCCTGACGAAAAGTTCAAAGTCTTTGAGTTTAGAGGAACATATATCAACGTAGTGGAAGAGTATGAGTTCTCATATCACCTTAGGACAAAAAACAGGATTCTCCACAAGAGATTTATGGATGATATATGGGTATATTAGGATTTTCTTATGCTACTGTAGTATAAGCATGAGAAAGTGGGGATCTAAATGATATTAATTTTGGCAGTAGAAGAACTTGAAAGGGAAGGATTTCAGTAATTATATGGATATCAACAAAGGGTTGGAAATAACTTAAATACCCCTGGGTAGGAGAGTGGTTGCATAAACCATGGTACAGCCAAACAATGGAGTACTATACTGCTGTAAAGAGGGTTGAGCAAAATCTTTGTGAAGTGATATGGAGTGATTCCCAGGATATATTGTTTGGTGAAAACTGCGAAGGACGAAGAGTAGCTATAGTATGGTAACCTGCATGTAAAAACAAAGATATAAAAAGATTTTCATATGTCTCCTCATTTTTTGAAAAGAAACACAGGAAGGATAAAACCAGAAACTAATGAAATTAATTACTTAATATGCGGTGGGTGGGAAAGAGGTGGAAAGAAAGGAGAAATGGGTGTAGGGTAGCAGGATGAGGAGGGAGTGAATAACTTCTCTAAGTTATTCAATTGTTATACATAAGGGAGAGCGAAAGAAACAGGTAACCTAAGCATCTTTGGAAAATAGTATTTTGGCTGTATTCTGTAAAGTTAAAGACAAAGTGAACAGTATACAAACATTGTATTATTTTAATTGGTAAATTATTTTCTCACAACGGTATGGGTTAGGAATTCTCAAACTACTTTATGTCTATACTAGGCTTGAACAAGCCAGTAAATATATTGTGGATAATAAAAGAAGTTACAGGTAAGGAAAGGAGGAAGGCTAGAATGAACCCTATGGGATCAAAGTAATCAGCATGAATTCATGGTTTTTAATATAGATACAGATGGACAGACATAGAAATAGAGTTGTACGTGTGTGTTAGTAAACCTCCACGTACTTTCTACCTGCATTGACGGAAAGGGTCTAGAGGTAGTGATAAGACTCCCTGAGTAGCAGTGAGCAAGTTAGTACCCAAAATATGATTTCTTGATACCATTCTCCAATAAAAGGAACCAGGGCTCCTTGGAGAAATGGTTGATTCCAGGGCTGGGGCAAGGAAAATAAAACATTTTGCACCAAAAAGTAAGGAAGTGCTCAAAAAATGATGGGTTATGTCAAAAGGACAAAGGAGCCAACATGATGGAACTCTTAACGCCAACACTGATAAAATTTGAGCAAGAAAGTATTGATAGTATTGGGTTACAACCCATAGAATAAAAGATATATCCATGAGTCCATATTGATATAAATCAATAGTTGA